CTGCCTCGCACAGGTACTATGATGCCATTAGGATTAAGAGGAAAAAGTTGACACTGACCAGATGGAATCCTTTGTTTGAATAGACTTTATGCATCATGTATGAGAGGTATGAAAATGCATCAGGTTATTATTTTTAAGGGTTAATCCTCTGTTGACGTGGGTTCTTTTTCGAGCTTGTGCTGCCCAGAAAAAGGTACCTGGACTGCTAGTAACTCTTTGTTTCTATTGTCTCATATTGTCCTAATTCAAGTTGTCCAAATTATTATTACTCTAATTGTATTACTATTTTTATAACCACTTTATTACTATTAAACTTTTAAAATTTCAAAAACCAGATGATTGGTGTTTTTCACACAGTGAAAACTGGATCTTGATCAAACTTACATTGGAGACAGGCACTGAGCTTTCTTGGACTGCAGGAGTTCTGTACACACCCAGAAGGAGAACCTGAAAGTTCTCAAAGCATTTCAAATGAAAAAGAAAGATACCTGCAGGGTTAGGTGGAGCAACTTGCCATTTTTGTTTAAATAAAATGTTTTCTCCATGTAAGTATCAGAACTTTTCATCAGATCTAATGCTAGATTTCTCTTTTATGCAGCTTTCAGAGACAAGTGTATGTTTTAATGTAGTTAATGAATATTTGAAGAGATTAAAACTCTGGTGGTGGGTGTCAACAGCTGCAGTTCAAGCTGTTGGATGTATGCACAAATTATGTAGCTAGATAAACCTGGCAAACTGTGAGTGCTTTATCAAAGTCTTGTGAATGTAGTGAATTTTGGATGCAATCCAAAGGACTTGCACTGAACATGATTTAATAGATTTGAACAACTAAACCAACAGATACACTGTACTTTACAAATGTGTGAGGCAACAGATTCAAAGGCAGTCTTAAAGGGTGCGATATTCTATATATTCTTCATTTATGATTAACCCCCCCATTACCTCCCAAAAACCAAACAAACAAGAAAAAAAAACCCTAAAAAACCAAAACTGAACAAACAAGAAAGAAAACAAGAATTTTTCCTATCAGTGAAAACATGACTTTGGAACAATGCTCAACTTTCATACATGCTTCAAGTTGCCATTGTCAGTAACTGGCAAGATACATAATCTGACCAACAAGAAAAATACTGGGAGAAATTGAAGTTGGCTTCATATATGTAAGTCACCAAGGCAGAAGAGGCTGAAAGCTCTTCTGAGCATTTCTGAGCTTGGTTGAGTTAGCATATGTTTCTATATGATGAATCTCACATTCCTGTTGTGAGTTAAAATAGAGGGGCTTGGATTGTTTAAGTAGGTCCTGTACACAAGCACGTGTTCAGGAATTTCTGTTAATACATAGATGCAGATGTATGTGTGTTGACAGGACTTACAAGAAGTACAGATTGATGCTAAAATGACACAGGAATTCATGGAAGTGAAATACATCCACTCACAATACACAAAGGGCACAGTCACATGAAAAGCCACATGTGAGTAGTCCCATGATAATTAAGAGGTTAGGATAACATTGGCTTTCTGCAAAATTTCAAACCTCTGAGTAGGAAGACGTTTCTTGAAGTTAATTAGCCAAAGGGTAACTCTTATCTTTGACTTCTCAGAAGATCTTTCTTCCTCTTTTCTTAACTTTGTGTATCTGTGGTGCCTGTGCAGATAATTCTGTGTATTGTGTAATTTAACTCCTTGAGAAATCTTTTTTTCCTTATCAGCAAATTTCTATGATTGCCTATGAGCTTATTAGATTAGGTTTTTTCCTGCCATTTTCCATCCCCACCCCTTTTTTAAATCTCCATTACAAATTAATATTTTTATTTTCTAATGTTGTGAGAAAGAGTCTGGGTCAATGTCAGTAAATATCAAGTTAAGGGATGGTTATGATGGGCTCATTGCTTGGTAGGGTAACTGCTGATACAGCAGGTGGGAGGTGTTACAGCCACTCACCTGCAGTGTGAAAGGGGAGGAGATTTAAGCAGGGTCATTTCTATGACCCAATGAACATTTCATTATATGCAATGAAACACTTCTCCCTATCACAGTCACCCATGGTTCTGGAGAGGTTTGCATTCTCTTCCATCCTGCAAGGTGGTTGGTTGGTTTAGTTGATTGATTTTCTAGGAGGGGTGTGTTTTTGTTGGTTTATTTTTTCCTCCACCCAGTCTCACAGATCAATCTTGTTCTCATCCAGCTTGGAAGGGAAATAGGGAACACTACTGAAAAGTCAAATATTTTAATGCAGTGGAGAAAGCCTTGCTGACTCTGTGAAGTAGAAGAGTGGGGGTTGTTCCAGTTAAGAAATTAATATATATTCTGCTGTATGCAGGGTTACCAGAGGGTTTTTTGCTAGAAAGGTCTATAGTGCTTTTCAGCCCCTTCTGGGAAGGCAATTTGACTTTTACAATGCAAGACTTATTGAACACAAGTACATTTCATCAGGCTTTTGAAAGTTTCCCTGCCAAATTCATGTTATTCAATCCCAGTGTTAACTGTGTAGCCATTTCAGGTATTCATTTTGCCCTGGATCTTCTGGAGGGAAAATGATTGTCACGTTTGCACATTTTCATATCAAAGACACCACTGCCAAAATGACATGCCTTTCTGTAGGCTGTAAGAACCCAGGCTCTTAAACAATCTGGAAAACAAGCTCTTAAAGTCACTTAAATATTTAGCAGTTTTTACACTATGTGCCACAAATGATATTTCAAAAGAAATGCATCTATGAGTTGTGGTAAGAGGTGTTTGCAAAAGGCATTGAAATGCAGCTGAAAGTAGAGTTAGTAATGCAGCCTGCCATTGACAATGAAGATACAAATGAACTGAAAAAAATTGAAAACATATGCATGGACTTTAGGCACTGCTTTTAAGAACAGTCTCCAGAAACACTCTGGTCCTTCTCTTGTTTCTTTGCAAAATTAGATCTATCCTATTATTTTTCCTGTTTTTCAAACGAGGTGCAGTTTATAGAAGGGATTAGTGGAGTGTACATTGCCTTTTCTGTGTTTTTGTATCCCGGAGCAGTGTTCTTTTGAGACTGTGTCACTCCACACAAGTTTGTTGGATGAAGAGATTATTGTGGAATGAAAAATCTGAAAGACAGTACATCTGGAAAAAGACCAAGATGATAAGAACTTGACACCATGTTGGTTACAATCCATGTTACAGACAGATTCTCCATCTTCAATAAGTGATATAAACAACTATTGTACCTCAGTATACCTGGTAATTAAGAGTCAGGTTGTAGGCAGAGAGACATTTATTTCCTTCTCAGTTCAGGATTAGTAAATCCTGTGTTAGGGGATCTGTCTAAATGCCTGGTGGTGGTGCTGGATGTGTGGACCTGCTTAATGTTTAAAGGAATGTAGCTTTTACTGAATGTGCTAAAATCTCAAATGGTTTGAACTGTTGCAGGAGATCCAGACTAAAAATCTGTTCTCAGAAGTGCTTCCCATCTTATACCAAGCCAATTTTACAGTGTTAAGTAGTGAAAACTATGAAGAAGTTTGATAAAACCTCTGATATCTACTGACAACTGTGAAACTGCAGGAGAGGATGAAGTTTAGCTCAGCCTTAGTGGTTTCTTCGTCAGGGCTGAGTCAAACCTGTTACATACAGAACTTTTGTTGTGATACTTTCCCAAGTACTCAACTTTTAATGCCTTCCATTAAGAAGCTAAACTAAACAATCAAATCATTAATCAATCATGAAGTTCTCTCTTGAAGATGTTACATGTATTTTGGGATTTCCTAAACCAAATTTGATGTTGTTTGATTTTTAGGAGAGGGTAGGGAGTATTTAACCTGTCCAGTTAGCTGCAAACAATCTGCATTTTTCTGGCAGCAGGACCTGTACTTTGTCTAACTGCACATTTCTTACGTTCTTGCCAGTCCTGCCCCATTCTAGGCAGTTTTCAATTATCTGGCTGTCTGACAGAAATTGAGAGCTCTTTATCTGTGAACAGCAATGTTCTCTTGTTTCTCTTCACTGCATTTCAGCATGTAACCATTTGTAAAGGGAAAGATACAGACAGTGGCTGACCAAGGTTTGAAATGTATGATTTATGTTCTAATAGTGTTTTATTTCCTCTTTCCCTCCCTCCTTGCCACTCTCCCACCAGCCCTTCTGATTTATGCTGTATTTCCTTACTGCAAGGACCTCCTTCCAGCCTGAAAATTCTGGTACATTTTAGATGCCCAATATATGATTTCAAATGTAGTAAAATAAGAACTTCCCAGACGTCTGAATATTTGAGGTTATTTACAAACAAATGAAAGTATGTTTGGGTAATCCTCCCAAGGGCTGGGAGGGTTTCTGTGTGTTCACAGAAGTTGTGATGAGCAAGAAGGATCAGATAAATTTCTAAATGCTGTTTAACTCCTGATTTCCTCCTTGACTATAAGCAAGGCATTTCATTTCATTGTGGGTAGGTTTTCCATCTCTAGTAGTGGAAACAACGCTGCTCTTCAGGTTTTTTCTGCAAACTGTATAAGCACTCCCAAAGTCATCCTTGCATTGCCCACAAAATGCAGAGTGTATTAATAATATTAGGTATGTTAGAAGTTATAAACCCAGTTTCATTCTATGACTTTTATTAACACAAGACTATAAATGAGATTGTTTACTTTATTGTTATACAAGTGACATACCAGGAATGCAAATTAAAAAGGCAAGTAAGTCTTGCATCAGATTTGCCTTCTTGGGAATCAAACCAAGATTTTGCACCCCACAGTATTTCTGCAGAGCACTTTGGTAATGTTGAAATCCTGTTGCAAAAAATGGTGTGTATGCAGTTTATTTCTGTAACATACACTGGAGTCCCCAGAACTGAAGTAGAGATGACTAATGTAGGTCTGTATGCAGTTTTATACATATCCTGGGAAATACTGAATAAGCAGTGTTAATTGGTTTTTTTCCTTTCTTTTTGTAGGATTTGTGTGTGATTGTCATTGTGCTGTACCACAGCGAAGAGGTATTTTTCACTTCAAGATACCTTGCATTAAAAGATCATGGTAGACAGTTTAATAGTTTCATTGAGGTAAGTGATGCAATAAAACATTTAAAATCTTACTTAATATGCTCCTAACACACTGCAGTAAATTTCAGTTTGGTGGTCTCTTGCTTTGCTGTTAGAAGTGTCTGTATTGTAGGAGGGTAAATAGAAATCTTGTCCCAAGACCAAATACTCAAGTATATGCATACCAGACATAGCATTCTTTGGTGATAGTGAGAAAAGAAAGTTCTCAGTGTTAGTTCATGCTTAGAGCATCTGTTGGTGTGTGCCAAGGTGATGGTCTGTGTTACTGGAAAGTTCCTGTGCTTTTTGATGAGGCTGTACAGTTACAGTCACTGGGCTTAAATTGCTGATTTACATGTTTTAGTACCTGTGCTGCAATTCATTCATGGATTTGTCTTATGCATTCCTGAAACAGTTTGCCAGTGGGCAAACATAGGAAAGACCTTTCAAAGAGCTTTGCTAACAAAGGAAACATTCAGCTGTTCCTAAGCTGGTCTGTCTGGTTCTGCCCTGTCCTTGGGCGAGCAGATTCAGAGCAGACAGCCCTGGTGCCACACAAACACAGGCTGCACTCCTGCAGGGAATGACAGCTCAGTGCTCTGTCTGTGGGATGGAGTTACTGTGACACCTCTGCTCCAACCTTGCTTCTCCTGACTTTGAGACATCAATATTTGGATTGCAATTTTGGCACCCTCCTAATATGCCAGGGCAGATTTTCCATCAAAATGGATCTGTCACACATTACTGACAGCACCAGTGTTATCTTTCCAGCTGAAAGGTGACCTGCATAGCTCCCTCCAGGCTGTTCAGCAGATTTGGGAGGAAGTTGGGAATTTGAGACAAGAGCCACACTGCTCTAGTCGGTTCTGATCACCTGTGTGTGGACAATCCACACTTGGCCAGAATATTCCTCCATAAAATGCAGCTACTAAGGAACAGCAGTATGTGAGAGATCTGCTTTGGTGCCTTTAGCTTCATTCATGCAGAGCTAACACTCACTGCACTGAGTAGGAAGAACCAGGAGAGGTGTTCCTAAATGAGCTGTTAAATTGCAAAATTTTTCATGCTACTCCTACAATAGACCTAATTTTGCTTTGTGCTTGTGCCTCCCAGTCTCTCTCAGCTGTTTATATGTATGCTTATATTTAAGTTTCTATTTAATGTTTTTATATTATTGGCAATTGGTCTTGCCAATAAAAGAAAGTGAGAGAGTTTAAAGTCTGACTTTGCTTCAAACTGGGTATTTGGCTCCAAACAGAGCCTCAGCTGTGAGAGCAGGGGCTGTACCAGCAAGGTTCTGCACCAGAGGCCTGAGTTCTACAGCCACCCATCAGCTGCAATTGGTGCCTCACCTGGTCAGGTATACTTGAAAAGTTTTGCCTTATTTTGAGAAGCACTTGTTCTTTTTGGCTTTTCTGCCCTGTGAGGATACCTGAACCAAACCCACTGAAATTGGAGAAGCCTTTTGTTGTAGCTTGGGAGGCTTAAAGTTAGTCATGCATGACAAATAAAAGAGCCTAGTCCAGAGAACTTAGCCAAGCAAGCTGTTGAGGGGGAATAACATTAAAAAAATTAAATTGCCACATACTGATTTGAAGCTGGGGCTTACCTCAGGATAGTTTAAGTATTCCTGGCAGATTTCCTGTGTGTTTGAAATAGTAGCTTGATACCATTGTTTCTGACAGATCCAATTGCAGATACAGAAGCAAATTTAAAATCTGCCTTTATTGTCCTTGAGCCATGTACATAGAAATGGTGATTGCAGTGCAACATCCTTGAAGAATGATCAGGAAAAGCCTGGCACAGAGTAATCACACATATACTAAAAGTTTGCTGTTTAGAACTGAGAACTTTAATCTGGTAAGTAATTTGCTTTGAGGATTACAGTTCTCATTCAGCTCAGAACTCACAACCTTGTGCATGATTTCAGAAGAATTTACACATGGAAATCTGTACACTGTCAGACTGATCAGAAAAATCCTGTCCTGTTGAGAATGAAAGCATTCATTTCCTTATGGAAAGTCTGAACTTTGTCTCACATGTTCTGAGGGATTATAGGGAGCAGAAACTATAAGGGAGCAGGGGTGGGTAGGAAGACTCTGAGATGGAAGTTAAATATAAATTAAAATATAAGAGGATGGAGGCTGGGCCCATCAGCCACTGCACTCCACCTACTTAGATGCTTGTGATTCTTCATTGACAAGAGTTGGGAGATCACTTAAACACTTAGGCAGGTGAGCTGAAGACAGACTTGATGCTGTAATTTTGCACTTTGGAGGTCTGAGTTCTATTTCTGCCTTTGATTTCAGGTGTGATTTGCAAATCAGTTTATTCTTTTGTGCCTTTGGCTTCCATGTACCACTGTGTGATTGGGCCCTGCTCTGAACTGCATGCTTTGACTCCTGCTGTGATTTCTTAATAGTGTCTTACACTGGCTTTGGTTTCAGCCACCTCCTCTGTATTTTGTTTTATCACAAATGATAGCTTTGTGAAATAGCAGGCTTCCTTCTAACACACTTTTTAAAGAGCTTCTTTTTTTTTTTCCCTATATTGATCTGGCAGTAAAGAAGTAATGACTTTTCCTAGGCTTTCACTGGTTTATTGCTTTGCTAGAGGGGCATAGATGGTGAGGTGATAATAGGCCATGTGCAATCAGTACTTACCTAAAGGTTCCTTTTGCAGTATGTTAGCAAGAACAAACACAGAAAACACAAGCTAAACATTCTCCCTAGAAGAAGAATATTTGTATTGGTGGTAATTAAATGCTTAGTATTAATAAAACCCCTTTCTCTTTGGGAGATCTGCCTCAGAAAATACCTGAAACAATAAGAAATGTTTAAAGATTTACTGGGTAGGGAGCAATGGAGCTGTAGACAGGAAATGCAGCTGGATTTTGTCTGGTCCATTAGTTTGCAGATGCATTTTGTATCCAAATCCACCAGTTTTACTTCTACATTGAAATTCAGCAAATCCTTAGCAGCTTTCTCCCTTTTAGTGGGTCTGAAACATACTCTTGGTAGACTAAAATGTCAAACTCCTGGTACAAATAAAGATAACTCGATCCTATTTGCCATACCTGTCCATGTTTTCAGGTGAAGGGGTTTGTTAGAAGGAGACAAACCAGTTTCTGTTGCAAATTATAGCAAACAAAAGACTGAGCCAACTGTGCCTAAGTTGTAAGAGGCTCCTAGGAGTCACTAAAGTGGTGAGGCTTGACAGAACAGTTTGTTTGGGCTTGGTTCCCATTATGACTCCTTTCACACTGAAGATGTGGGGATTGGGGTGATGCTTGGCTGCTTATCCCCAGTCTCTGGTGGGCTGTGTTCACTACTTTCCATCCTATGTGCCCATTAGGTTATTCAGTTTTCACAAGAGTTAGGCAGCTGGGGAAGAACCCATTTTCTGTTTCCTGTGTGCTGAAGGTGGAGTGTTCATCTGTGAAATGAGGAGCCAGAGCTAGAAGCAGATGTGGTCCACAGCTGGGTGAATTCTTACTTAGCACTTCAGAAAACTTGCAAAGCACATGTCAGTTTCACACTGAATGCTGAGGGGTTAAAATATGCACTGCCAGGAATTTTTAAATTTAAACATGAAGTTATATGAAATACTATCAATGGATTCTATTTGGTTTACTTTTGCTTTATAGCTGGACAAATCTATGTATGAGCCTGCTGTGAACAGAATCCTATAAGGACATTTCATACAGTTTAGTGAGTCTGCTTTGGTTGGCAATGGTATTCAAGTGTTTAAATATCTCCTTGCAGTGTGAAGCCCTGTAAGATGTTGGAGATGTGTGGTTTGTATTAGTGGTAATTATCTGTTCTGTTTCACTGCCTTTTCAGACTTCTCAGTTCCCTAGCAGTGCTGGGATTTCAGCTTGTCATCCCACAGCCTTCAATTGAACACAGAAAGGTAAGCATCAGAAACATTCAGACTTTGTGTACACTGAAAAGTAAATGTGAAAACATTAGAGTAAGATGTGTAAAGCAATGCAATCTGAATAATGTTCTGGGAATAAATGGCTTCAGTTTGTGCATATGGGGTTTTTTTTTGGTTTCTTTTTTAATAATTATATACATGGTTGAAAGAGGCTCATCATGGTTACTTAGCTGAGTAGTTGTATGGAGCATTATAGGTCACAAATAGTTACTAAAGCTTTGGAGCATTTTCATCATGCAAGACATGGAAAAAGAGAGCAGGCATGAAGTGAGCAGAGAACCACCCAGCTGCTCACAGGCAGCTCTTTCTCTTGCACAGATAGAAATGTCTGAAACAGAAGCTGGACCCAAAGCACTCTGTTGCTATTCACATTCTAGAGATTGGAGCTGGAAACTGCTGGAATTTCCTGTTGTGCTCTTGTGGATGGTTACTCATCCTAGGCATTGGCATCTCTAGGAAGGCTTGCAGCCTGCACACTTTCCATCCTGCTCAGCATAAGGGAGATCTTGGCTGGAGTCCTTGGGTTTTTGCACTGCTTTTCAGGAAAGTAGTGAACAATTTGGAGAGAAACAGAAAGCAGCAGGGATTATCCTTGAGAGATTTTAAAATCTTACCTCTGAGGGAAATTTGAACAAATTCATATTGTTTATTCTAAAGATTGGAAGACTGATGCTGGAGGAAGATATAATCTTCAAATACTTTTGAGTACAAAAAGAAGGCTGGTTTTTTCTGTTTGGTGGAACAGATTTAATCTGAGGCAAAGGAAACTTAGGTTTGACATTAGAAAACACTTGTCATGGTAAGGATATAAAGAAGATTATATTGATTGAATAATATTTAGAATTTCCATGATGTAAGTATCTGTGAATGTGTTGGACAAATGTTTATCAGGAACAATGTGCAGGTGTTGCTCATTCTGCCACAGACCTGAGGCAAGACCCCTTGAATGCTGTTCTGTCTCTTCCCACTCTCACCACATTCACTTCATATCAATGTTGTTCTCATATCCTAATATCACTGGGATCTCATAACTCTTGATATTAAAATGCAACCAAATAATTCTTGAAGGTGTTAAATAACCTGTTTAAAAACCAGTTTGCTTTTTACTATAGATTTTTAAATAATAATCTGAGATGTGTATTTTTTTGAAAACTATACTGTTAAAAGGAGATAAAAGGCAAGTTTGCAGGGTTTGCCTTTTTTATGTGCATGTGCCACTGTCTTTAGGGTAAAAAGTTATTTGGACAATAGCCTCATAAGTATGGACTAGAAACCTGAAGCTGTCTAATTGTCAGAGTTCCAGAAGAACCCAGAAGTCCTGTTAACTCCTTGTGCAGGCTGTTTGTAAGACAAGTTAAATGAGGTCAGTAACATGGGGTGTGAAACTGGCCCAGTCCAGTCTGCAGCTAGCTGTCCAAGGGCTCTGTTCTAAACTGCAGGACAATTTAGTGTTTTTGCCTATCTTACATCTCTTCTCTTTTGTTGTGCAGTTGAGATGGTCCCAGCTGCTGCTCTGGTTTCAGTACTCTGTCTGATTAGACATTCTTTTGTAACACTGACAGTGGAGAGATGCTTCAGTCCAGTTTCCAAATGGCCTTAGGGGGAATAAATCTACTAACTAAAATGGAGTAACTCAGAGAAACAATTGCTTCATTCTGGGAAGCCCCGGAATTAATTTAGATAAAATCAGATTCTTTGTTTTCAATTGAATGAGAAATGCCACGGGTATGGAGTGTGTTCTATCCTAGTTAAAGGGACTTAAGGGCATGGTAACCACCTTGGAGATGTCCCTTTTACTGAAACAGGGCCCAAGTTTCCTGGTGACAGTCTCACACGGGCCTAAGGCTGGCTGTCATTCTCAGCTCTTACCCTGAAGGAGAGGATTCTATTCTTGCCAAACTGTTTAGGCTGGAACTCTGTATTTATGACACTTTTCACAAACCTTCTGCCCTACCTATCAGCTCCATGCAAGAGGGGTATTAGTAACTCTGAAGGCCAAGTCAGACATGGGTTTCTGAGTGTGAGTTCTCAGCTTTGCAGCTCTGGGGATTCTTTCTATTCTTTTCCTGCATTAACCCCAACATATATTTGCTGACATCCCCTGTGTATTTCTGGGTGGATGTCTCTGCTGTTTGGCAGGGTTCTTTCTGTGTGAGAGGAGGTCAGTTGTGCAGAAAGAAAGAAAGGGAGAGGAGGAGGATGAGGGATCTGATGAACAATTTTAACAAAATAGTCAATAATGAAAGTGGTGTTTGCTGACTTTCATATACACACTCTAAGGGTATAGTAAGGGGAATCAAATAACTGGAGCTGATGTCTAATGAAACATTAGCCCATACCCCAGTTCTTACTGTGTGTTTATTTTGCATTAAGCTAAACATGATTTAGCAGGTTGCTTTCTCAGATGCACACACAAAAATCTGTTTCTGGCATAACAGCATGAGACTGATAGCTGGAAGAATGAGCCAAATTACTTGCACAGAAGCGCACATATTGGAATTAAGACTTGGGGAAATGACAAAACCAAATGGGAAAGTTGTGGGAGAAGGTTTGATTGGGCAATGTTTTCTGCTTTTAGTCTTTATTATTTTTGAGTGAAAGTCTTGGAAGCTTGTCAGACATATAAAGTCAGAATTTACCAATACAGACTTTCTAGTTCCAGAAATACATGGCTACCTGCGTTTTATATAGAAGTAGCTTTTGACTTTCTTTAATCAACACTGTCTCTGCTGTCAGAAGTGCACAAAAACTGAAAACAAAACCCAGCTCTATAGGTTCCTACATCTGAGTTTAGATCACTACTCTGTTATTCCTATATCTGTAAATGGCACAGGTTTGTACAGTAATGTAAATACATTAAATGTGGTATGTTCATTAGAAATAAAAATTCTTACGTAAAGCACTTTTATGGGGTTTTGCTGAGGACAGGATTTGCACTGTAGCTGGAAGTCTCTTGGAGCTTTTTTAAATAATCTAACCTCTCTATTCCTCATGCATAGTATTTAATTTCTAATATCAGGTGTACTCAGTAAGGCCAAAATACTCATCAATAACAGGGTAAAAATGGGAAACCTTATGTTAAACAAAATAATTGCCACTTGCCTTTTAAAATCAGCCAAAGTCTCTGCAGCTTGGTAAGCTGAAATCTTTCTTATTATTTGAACAATTTGCTTGCCTTATCCTCAGTACTGGACATATGAACAGCCCTGCTGCTGCTCATGATGCATTCAAGCTTTCTGTTCTCTCTCCCTGTGATTATTTTATTGAAAGTTAACCTTATCAGATAAGTGTCATATTGTGGTGAACTGAAGGTTAAACTATAAACAGTCTTTCTTCTAGACAACCATTGAAGTCTGTATTCCCAATTTTCCAGAAGTCACTCCTGGGTGGATTTTTGACTAATCATAAGTTTCTGTGTTAGGAAACTAAGCTGTAGTTATAATTATGCCTTATTCATTTTAGCAAAACTGGTAATGGAAATAGTAGCAAAGTCTGTCCAAATAAAATTTCTGACATGAATATTGCTTTGGTTTAACATGTTGCTTCTGTTATGGCACTAAATAGGAGTGTTGAAGCAACAGAAATTGCTTTGAATTTATGCATATCTTTTTTGTCACTAAGTTGTAGATGAGTATTGAGTTCAGTGTCTTAACAAACTGATTTTTATTGTATGGAAGCAATGTCAGGATTTATTTTTACAAGTTTTTCATTGGGGCAATACAATACTGTTAAAGAATTTTGAGCTTCTTTGGGCTCAGTGTAATCTCTTTCGGCTGGCTCAAAATTAAAGAAGAAATAAACTTGATGTTATCTTTGTCAGACACACAATGTTTCTATGAAAAGCAACTATTTATCAAGTGAATGTGACTATACTCCTCACAGAATTTTGAGATTAATGTGCTTTGGAATGTGTGTTGGGGTTTGTTGGCTTCAGTTTTTTTGGCTGTTTTTTCCTCTGTCTCGTGTTGGATTCAAATTCCCGTGTGGAGGGGCCATCAGTGCTAAGTCAAGAGAAATAAGGAGCAGCATCCAGGATCAGAAACAAGAGCTGAGGGAAAAGAGTGGAACAGGGGGAAGGAAAAGGTGGCCAGGATCCCTCACTTGGTCATGGTGAGCAGTTTGAGCAGTTCAGCTGCTTGGCCACACTGTAAGAGAGGGCAATGTGCAGCACGAAGCAAATCTGCTCTGTCCTTCCTTGGAGCAAACTGAAGTAAGACAAAGTGGTTGATATCTAAGGATATCCAAAGGCCAGGCACCAGGACTAAAGCCCAATAGTTGTCAGGAGCACCCTGGGACCCCCACCACAGCTGGCCACCACCTTGCCTTTAAACAAGCACCAAAGCAGAGGCTTGGGAGGGAGGGCTGTGCTCTTCCCTGCAGCCCAGGCAGGGTGAAGCTCTGCCCCACAGCCAGCAGTGACCCAGGTGTGGAACTTGTCAGGATTTGCTGAGCTGGAACTCAGCTGGTGCTAACAGAGCCACCCACAGCAGAGGCACTGGGGTCTGGCTGGGCTGAGCAACTGAACTGGAGTGCACTGGAGAGGCTGAGTCACTGTGCATTTGCACAGCTGCTCTTCCTTTGCAGCAAATGCTCACAGGTGTCACCCCTTCTTCTCTGGTGGTGTTTTTGTATATAGGATAAATGCTGTCCATTATTTGTATTTTCATCCAATTCACTCGTGTGAAACACTTCCAGCTGCAAGGGAGTCCATATTTCTCTGGCAGTTTTTCACTGGTCAGTGTATGTGCTTGCCTTTAACTGTATAAATATACATCTGCTCCTTTCATAACCTTTGGCAAAGTAGAATCTGCCATTCTAATTGCAGCAATCCTTAGGAGATGTGATTTAAACCACAACAAGACTTTTCCTTTAAAATTAGCCTTTTAGTACAACAGAATATTTAGAACAACAGCTGAAAGAATTTTCTTACTATCTCTGTGTTGTTACTAATTCCCTGTCCTTGACGTTGTGGA